GGTTGGCTATTAGGAAGATATTTTTTAATTTTTTTTTTTACAGAGAGAGTAACCAGGCATTGGAATGTGCTGTGCAGGGAGGTGGTGGATTCACCATCCCTGGAGGTTTTCAAGATGAGACTGGATGTGGCACTTAGTGCCATGGGCTAGTAACAACAGTAGGGTTGGACTCAATCTTTGAGGTCTCTTTCAACAAGGTTGATTCCATGATTCTAAAGAATTTGTAATTACTGATTATTCTACATCTGAAATCCAAAGTGGAAAAGGGAAAATGAGTTTGGTGTAACATTTTAAAGTGTGACAGCATACATTAGATCAGAATACTCCTCAAAGAATGCATACTATAAAATCCTACTGGATTACACTTAAAATTAACTGGTTCATCTTGCCATCTATTTTAACCTTCTGTTCTAGTAAGAATCTCCAGCTTATCATATCTTCATTAACAACCGGATAAAACAGCTATGAAGAGTCAATAAAACAACTTAAGGTCAGGCATTTTCTTTCCAGGTAATGCATAGTAATTTGTATTTTTCTTAGGAAATAAATACAGTAAAGTGTATTTGATTCACCACCAAGTTTCCCAAGATATCAACATGCTTTATCTAATGACTACATTGGACAGAACTACAAAGAAATTACCTCACAGCCAAAATTAATTTCTTGGTTCTGAAGTGCCCAATAGCTCCCTTCAAACGACTGAGGTGACAAATGCAAATGCAGTTAGACAAGCCAGATTCTGGGAGGAGTGTGTTTTCTTTTACTTAAACAGAATAGTAAAGCTTTGTTATCTTTAAGTATTAAAATTGTATCTCCCATGAAAATTAAGCAGTATAGACTGAAATCTCAGGAATAATGTAAAAGCTCAGTAAATAAATTACAAAAGTAAGTGTATCATGGTTGTCAATTTCATATACATCCCAAGCCTATTAGGTTTAGCACAGCATACAGTGGAGAGAGTCAGAACTCCACTGTGCTTTGTAGTCAAACAGAGCAAAGATAGTTAAAAACTTAAGTACACATCTACACAAATAAAACGAAAAACCAATCAACCAGATGAGGAACAAGAAAAATTAAACACTTCAGCACAGTGCAGAACCTTCAAGCAAAAATACTGCTTGGCCACATCTACATACCATTTTTAGGAAACAAATCAGGACCATTTCTTTTCTAACAGAATCAAGTGTTTATCATATAGCTAGAATCAGTTGCTACCACATTTGGCGAAAGGAGAAGCACTGCCTTTAAAGCCGAGCTGTGTGTATGATCAACATTTCCAGGCAGCCCTAACCAAGATTTTAAGAGCTGAATTTGGCTGTGTGTCATCAGCTACAAAAAGCATTCTTCATGACATCTTTAGAGTGTGCTCAAAGTCAACATTTCAGCATTTACTTGTTAGGACTTGGCTCATGGATATTTGAGAAGAGATCAGATGGTTTTCTGCAGTAAGGAGAGCTGACAAACCCACTGCTACCACACAGCAGAGCCATCCAAGTCAGAGGCTTACAGGAAGGGTAGCTCACAACTGTGGGATGAGGATCACTAATATTAATTAAAATCTACAGTAACTTTCAGGTACATACATACCTCTGCTTGCTAGCAAAAATGTAGTGCAACAAACTTGGACTTAAAATAGCATGAAGCTGGGAAGAATGAACTACTTGTACAGATCTGGTATATTTAATGTACTTCTGAAATATACACCTACAGTACAAGGCTGAGGGTGTATATAGCTAAACAAATACACAGGAGTTAGCTGAAAGGCTAGAATGACAGCCTTTCCTTTCAATAACAACTGAACAGACCTCCTGAATCTAGTTCAAGCTATAGTTAAAAAAATGCTCCCCATACAGTTTTACAGTCTAAAAATACCAATTCATGGCAATGCTTTCTCAATCCCCTAAAAAAAAAAAATGTACAAGGGCAGAAGAGGAGAAAAAAGTAATCTCAGACATGTAACTAGACATCAATGCAAACTGAACTTTCAACTGAATGCAGGACACCAAAGCAGATAGCTTAAGTTGTTGCTATATGCAAACACTAGTTTACGCATAGTGAAAAAAACAGCAGTTTTCCCAAATGTTGAGTTTTAGGACTAGTGTGCTAAGTAAAACCTGCTGCAGGTTTGGTGTGGGTTTTTTTAAGATGGAGTGCTATAATGTGACACGTATATCAAGTTGGGAAAAGACTTTGAACATAACTCACTGTAGTATTACAAACTATAAAGTGCGCTGTGTATCTCAAGTCAAGCAAAAAATGGCAACATTAAAGATTGTTTAGCGGAAAATACTTAGCAGCTACAGATGACACAAGTGAGGACCTACACATATGGTAACCCCTGATTTGCATGAAAACAGCATCTATCTTAAGCCACGTAACACTGGTACGTTTAGTAACAGTGTACTTCCAAAAACATCAGCAATGTTGCCATTTTCTTGTTACCCATTTGGCAATTCACTGAGACTGTCACTGCTACCTTCACAATAACACCACATATATGCTCTCTGCTGCTGCATACCATGCTGAGCTATGTATATACCATTTTGATATATTTAGAGCACCAGGTTTTCTCAAATCAGTTTTTAATCAGTTTAGTAAAATGCTACTCGTGATAGAAATTACTGAGTTTTACCTCTTAAAATATGGGAGAAGTGATAAAAACAGTAATATTTTACAACTATTTTTGCACAGGAAAAACAGTAACAGTTACCAAGCAATGTCTCTACTTATGGGAATAGAACCAATAGGTCTTTTCCATCATCTTCCATGACTGACAAAATCAGAATCACACTAAGCTTCCTGACAGCTTTACCATCAGTTTTATTGTAACAGTCAACCAGCAAACCTAGCCTGAGATGTGCTGTAAATGGGTATTTTTCAAATTCATTATTCTGTAGAACTTTTATCAAGAACACTCCTTCTATATGCTTATTACCCAACCATAAGTGAACCTGTATTTTCACTTGAAAACATGTATTTGCTTCCCAGTCAAATACTTATTGATTGATAACAAACTGGTTTCTATTCAAACCAACTGTTGGGGAAAACATGTACTTATTGATGATGATGCACTACACAGTGGAAGGCTTTAAACCAGCTAGCACAAATAGTCTCCCTCCTTGCAACGGCAAGATACTTTTATCATCAGCAACACACAGATGTCACAACAAATTTTCTTCTGCTAAGTATGGTTCAGGTAAATTCATTCATACTGTTATGAATAAAGCACACATACAGATTCCTTCCCAAAGCTTTTTTTTTCCTCCTCAAGGTAAATTTTCTAATAATTTGTGTAACAGATATACTCTGTTGATAAGCCTAAGTGACTAAGTTTGCAATGGCAGACTGAGATGCAAGGACACAGTACCCTTGGAACACATGGTATAAAACTGCAGGTTCTTTGAAAGTGAAAATAAAAGCAGTTGTGTTATAAGTTGTTCACAGTATGTACTGCACCATGCAGTTTAGCTAAACAGATTCACTACTAAAAATGAACTTTCTTGACACAAAATAGAAACTACGTAAGAATGAAAATGATGCCACTTATAATTAAGCACAAAATTATTCTCGCTCAGTATTAGTAATAACATTCCCAAAATCCTTTCCAGTGATTTTTATATTTTATTGTAATCAGATAACTGCACGTTTTACAGCATAGTCACACATTGTATTTTGCTAAAGTCACAAACACATTGCCTTACATAATGATCCGCATCATTTCTGCTCTATACTACAAAGCCTATGACTGAATACAAAAAATGTTTTACAAAAGAAACTGTTTAAAGACTACAATAACAATAGAACCATTTCCAGATAACAGCTAAAATTATAAAGGCATATCACTGTAGAGTTTTACTGGAATTTCTAAAACAGTAAGGAATGAATTCAGATTTAGTATCTGCGGCGCTTGTTAGGTCCTTCAAAGTTGCCCCCTGGGTTTCCTCTACCAAAGCCACCAGGTCCACCACTCACGGCACCTACACCACTCATTGGCGGCTGAGGAGTTTCAGAGCCCGTTCTACTAACCAGAGGTGAACCCATCTGTGATGGACCTCCTTGAGGGAATCTCTCATTATGCTAACACAAGTCCATTTGGATCATGCCAAATGTGAGTTACAACAAAAACCACAAGTGATGTTGTCATGAAGTTCAGCAGATAGTCCAGCAGAATCAGGATCACACATAAAAGGAAGAAAGGAGCAATTCAATTAGTTATTACGGAAAAAGAGCTGGAAATTAAAGAGTGCTAATGTTATGCTCCAACTTTGTAATGTAAATTAAAAATAAAAAACTTAATACTTAATACCAACTCTGGTGCTGAGTGTAACTTCATCCTATGAGCACATATGAAACAATACATATTCTCTAGTAACAGAGGAGACAGCAAACACTTTTATACCTGAGCCCTATTCTGCCTTACATGCCAACTATGATTCACCCTTAAATAAATTAAGACACAGAAACATTGTCAAACGGGGGGGGGGGGTTTTGTATTTCTAGATACTGCAGATTTATTCTTGTAATAACAATATAACCTGAAGACTTCTATACCCACATATCTGTGAGTATTTCAAGTCCATGCTACCTGGAATCAGTCTTTTGTATGATACTTTAGAAATCTTTAGTTAAGACTTTTAAAACTCTGTCCAAATTACATTAGTGACAAAATGCATAACTGGACTATGCTTAGTCAAAAAAACCTTCATATGTATCTAAAGCTTATTCTGAAATATCAATCTAAGATAAAAATCCAGTTAATATTCCACATTTATTTTCCTTAGTTCCGTGCCTAATATTAATAAAGGTCTACGTGCTTATATAGACTTATTTGCTTAGCAATTAAGACTTAGAACAGAAAACACATCTGAGCACTTATAGCTCAGAATTTACGGAAGTGTTCAAAACCAGAACCCCACGTGGTGAAATTTAAACACTGACTCAACGTAACATCACCATTAAAAGCATAGATTGATGATAGAATCAGATCTGCAAAGAACTCATCATTCACTTGTTGAGGCCAGTTATGCTTTCAGACAAAATTCCCTCTGTACAGATCTGCAATCACTGCCCAGGCATTCAGAGTTCAACAAGGACATTCAAGACCAGCATTTAATTTATATGCCTGAATCAGAAGAGAATTCTTCTGGAAGCCTAACTCCAGCAATAGGAGTAGAGCTGAACAGGTCTGTAGTCTGCTAATTCATATCTTTATCTCTCTATATATACAGAGAGTTAAAAACTACTATTATATCTATATTGATAAAAATATATGCCACAGACCATGGTTGTATGTGTGCACATTATTTAAAGTTTGACACTTTGCAAGAGAAAGGTGATTTCAAGAGCTGCATAAGGATCTACTACTGAGCCAAAGTACCTTCAAATCTGCAGCACTGGTTAAAAACTTTTAAAAAATTATCTTTACCTCATGCCAGCTTGTCAGCAATGGGTATGAATTTCAACAAATAACTTATCATGTACTCCTGATCATTTTTACCATTTGACTTTTGCACAAAAAGTCCAACAAGGACCCCTCTCTCCAGCTAACAAGAAAACTGCAGTAATTAACTAACTCTAATAAAGTATGGGGGGGAACTGCTTTTAAAATGTTATGCTCAAAATCAATCTATGTTTCAGAAGACTGCAGTGGAACAAAAAAGAAGTTTGCTACAACTTTCCCCTTAAGACTTTGGAGAAACATCCAATTAAAAAAATTAAAATTTCTGGTCTATAAACCCTATTCATCCATTTCCTTCAGTGTAAATTAACTGTTACAGCTTTAGTAGGCAGCCCTCAGAGGACCTTTAGTGTCTTTCCAACAGCAGCAATAATACAATAAGCTTATGCCCTTCCGTAGAGCTAAGTAAAAATTCTGAAATTCCAAAATGAAGGAAAAAAAATAACCTAATTTCTCCTTCAGTAGCATGCAGAAGAAAATGGAAGTAAACAAATATTTTTTAAAACATGCATTTTGAAGTGTCAGTATATTCCCTACATTTCCATACCTGGAATGGCTTTTTGTAGAAAAACAACAGTTTTAAGTTAGACGCTGTGAACTGTGATGCCACGTTTTTTTCCTGAACACCTCTTTTCTGGTATATATACAATCACAAAAGAATGTTCTAGATGTGACCAGTAACACAATGGTCACCAGCAAAAGCAGCTCTGAAAACAGTGTCTTGTGACTAGCATCCTCCCCACTTTGTGAGAAATGATACAACTAACAAAATGAGCTGATTCCTATGGTGAGAGAGGATCTCACTTTACAGCTGGTAAAGACCAGGCTGTAATCTCATTCTCCTCTAACGAACAAAGGATTTTGTACAAGCTTCATATACAGATTGCTCAACTGCAGATAGAGACCGTTGAGAAGGCATATCTAAAAAAATATAGCTACAAAATGTGCCTGTATTCCAATAAAAATAGAAGAGAACCTCTGCTAATACTATGCACTCCTCTACATCACACCACCACTATCCCAAATATCTATTAACAAAATGGGACTGAAAGAACACAAAAAATCAGGTTTAAAATTACATAGTTGTTTCTCTACATAAGACATTACAGCTAGGAAAAGTGGCTATGAGAACAAAGCAAAAATGGCTAGTGCTTGAACTGCATCCCAATGGCCTCTCTGCCCCTGAATAAAACTTCCAGATGTATACAAGACATTTCCTACCACCTGTAGCAACAGGGCAAGATTATTTTTGCTGCACTGATATGAGTTATCCCCAACAGATGTTGGCATACTGATTTCTAAGTAGCACAATTAGTGTCATAATCTCATGCGTTCAACAGCATTAGAAAAGAAATACAAAGAACACTAAAGTTGCTTTAAAGAATTAATTTACACAAAGATATCTTCACACTACATAGCTTCCAACATTTAGCTGTTCATCAAAAACTCCAACAAGTTAATACACAGAATTTAGTTTTACAAAAGAGCCAGCAAAAGCCTAAATTTACAGATTCCTTTTCCTAAGGGAAGTAGGATTTTCACAGTAACATAAAAAAATATTTCCCTTCTGTGTTGCAAATTAATTGTATGAACGAGTTTATTCAATTACTTTTAACAGATTGAAAATGTGTAACATGTTCTTACTCAGCATGAAAATATCTTTGGTAACAAAAATGGGCCATGAGACATGACAGCTATTCAAAGGAATTAAATTTGTGATACATTACCACCGTTCCATTATCTGGCATCATTGGTGTTCCCATATTTGCAGCTCCTTCTGGTCCCATGGCAGGACCAGGACCCATTGCAGGGCCAGGTAAAGTTCCTCTGTTGTTCATATTCATACCCATCATTGGAGGAGGGCCTTGGTTACCAGCAGGTGCTGGGCTAAACGCATCTATGCAAAACAATCTATACTTAGAGCTGTCCTATCTTCATTTTACAAGAACAAACAAACAATTTACAATATTTAAAAAGCCAAATGTACAAGACTTCAAATACTTGAAATAAAAAAAAATAATTCTTTGAGACTGTACATTTACCTCAATCATCTGCTTTTAAACAGATTTTTCAATAATCCCTACTCTTTCGCATTACATAATTTGCCTCACGTATGTGAAAATCCCGAACTTTACAGCTAAATATAGCTGTACAGTTTCTGTGAACGAACTGAAGTGTTCACATACCAAATATATGCAGTACAGACACCACAAATTCTCAAGAATCTCAAGTGATTTCACAGATATTAGCAGCTACAAGGCGACTGACTTGGCTCTTTAGGGATCATAGCATACAAAATGTGCATCTCCAAGAACTCTTCTACCAGTATTATGCTAATTGTATGTAATGTACAGTATATTAGTCTAGGATCTAAAGGCAATACCAGAGATGGCACTTAACTTCATAATAAATTATCTGTACTATAGTATAAATAAAATCTGGCTTTTAGCTGTAATTTATTATGGTAAGTACCAGAAAACTAAGGGAATTTGTTAGAACTGAAAGTGACAGAACAGACTCCTCCAAAATTCTGATTCCAAGTAAGAGGTAGAAGAAAAGCTTGAAAACATATTTTGAGGAGATCATGCAGCTGATAATATCGCACTAGGAAACACCACTCTGCCAGTACTCACTAACATACTCAACATGTAGGTAAAAAGGGCTTCATAACATTTTCTCATGCTGTTTTAAGAAAGAAAAATGTCTGTTCAGGTATCTCACCTCTGCTACTTCGAAATATCATCGATTTTGAGACTGGTAGTGATGCATTTTCCCACACATGCACACCAGTAATACATCCTTTTCAGCCAGAAGTGTGCATCCAGAATTTTATGATGGAAGACCATATATCTCTGGAATCTAGTCTACACTTTAAGGATAATAAGAAATCTGACATGTTGCTATACTAATAAGCTTGTTATTTTTATTTAAAAAGTAAACCCTCTCACTTCTCATCACAACTGTACTTCTCTAGTACCAAAATTATAAATGTGCACCATTATAAGCAGGCCATATGGCACAGATACAGTACTATGACTATCTGCAGGTATGCAAAATTACATCTGTGTTACCTGCCCTGAGTACATCTATCACCACAGTCAGTGAAACCATGGCACCCGAGATACTGCTACTAAAATTGAAGACCTGGGTTTGATCATATACAAGCTGCTTAGCTAAAACAATCCATGCAACGCAGTAGCACATGTAAAGTGCTGAACAAGTTTACTGGAAGTGATAAAAATCATGTAATTTCAAAAGAATTCATTTGAGCTTAGTAATGAGAACTCCAAGACCTCTCCTTGTAATGCTAAGCCAAAACAAATGTACACTCAAGCTGGATGCTTCTTACCAACCCACATGCATGATCTGTTCACGCAGCAGGTAAAGACTGCGCTACGATTCAAGAGAAGTACAGCTAAATATAACCTAAAATTGTCTTCTAGTGTCATCAAATCAGTGACTAAGCACAGAAGAAAAAGAAGCCTAAACTGTCTATATAAGGAAAAACCTTCATTTTTAGAGGCTATTAAATACTCTGCAGGACTTCAATGATGGCAGCGCTTAGTGTGGGCAACAGTGCCATTAACTAAACGCTGAATTATTTGTTAATGGCCTGATTACCAGCCTAATTGAACTGAGGCAGCTGGCCACACAGCTGATGTCAACTGCAACAAAGTTCTTATCCTCTGTGTCATACAAACGCACCTATACTGCTTCCAGGGTGACGTACAGTGACCTATATTATCAAACCTCTGTAATACTAAACCTGTTTCAGGCAGAGTCAACTCTAACAGGAGGAAAACAGCATGTAAAGCAAGGTGAGACTGGGGCCCTGCACACTCCCAGCAAGAGGCCACCACAGTATATTAGCTGTAACTCTTAGCCTCCAAAATCTCCTAGCTCCAAAGCAAACCCCAAGAGCTAACCATGTGTTTGCCCACTCTTTTTGGTGGGACCCTGATGTCAGCAGTTAAACTTACAGGACCAGGTTCAGTAACTGATGGAAGCAGTCATCAGTGCTCATACCACAATGCACAGACACTAAAACAAGCTTTTAGTGCAAACTGAAAGGGTGAAAAAGTACACCCTACATGTCTGAACTGCACATGCCAGTCTGCCACAGCTGAAAACAAGCCAGACAATAATCCTCATCAACACAGAGACAGTTCCAAAACCAGCCTTTTTTAAAAATTGAGGTTTATAAGCTGCACTTGGCACTGCAGACCCACTTAAGTGCTATGATGAGGCATACAGATTCTCTTGCAACTTGTTCTGTCACAGAAAACTAAAAATGACCAGTCCTGCACAAGTCACCCCAACACTCCTTAAATCTGTCATGGAAATGCTTTCCTTTCTGATAACATTATCATGCAGGTATTTCCATTACTGAAGATACTGGCCCACATGATGAGAAGTCACTAATGGCACAGGTAAAGGTCAGTTAAAGTTACAATTCCAACAGAAATATTCAGAAAGGATGCTAAGGTCAACAACTAAAGATCTACTGCATAAAGGTCTATTGCAAGGGTCTGGAGTTGGATTGTTTTGGTTGTACTGGTGGAGTTGTTACTGTGCTGGTAAAAAACCAAAATCTCTACAGTGAGCTGACCTAAAAATCCAGACACTGTGGAAATAAGCACTACCTTAAACCTATCTGCTATGGATATTTTAAAATAGCACTTCAGTGTTACTGTAACTTCTTCTGGAAGTACACAATTTAGTTCTAAAAGTATTCATATTAAGTTTAAAATCAAGTTGTAACACAAAGCTTAGAAGGCAAGACCATAGACATGGCTGATTGGCATTAAGAGCTGACAAGAATAGCAGTAAATACACATCTAGTATCTACACGTAAAAAGCCTATCTTGTGGGTCCAAGCAACTGGCACAGTATCAATGTTTACAAAGTCTCCTAAAGAAATCTTCACTTATACTGCAGTAAGATGCAGAAATACAACTATAAAATAAAACAGTCACAACTTATGCTTCAGCTTATTACTTGTAGATCACTTCACAGTGTCTTCGTTCAAAAATATTTTTAAAGCTTTTCATCTTCCCTGAAAGGAAAAGCCTATTTCTATTTTGCAGCTATAAATGTGCCTCGGTTAATAAATGAAAGAGAACGGCAAATAATGTACTTTAAAATCTGAACCAAGCAGATTTGTTAATCTATATATTCACACTGCTCACAAGGTCAAGCGACAATGTTTACTGTTTTGTATATATTTTCAAGTTGAAAATACACAAAAATAATTTTATTATTTTTCTTTAAATTATTATTGTAATTTATTTTAAATTAATGTCAGGAAGCTTCCAATAGATATATATTGACAGTCAACATAGTTTAGTAAGATTTGGTGCTTTTGAAGAACTATTTCAAGTTTCAGTCTTGTTTAAAAGCAGATATTCTCGGTAACTAAGATTCCCAACTGTTTCAGTCTGCACATGTAGAACAAGCACTAATAATTGAGAATGTAGACTTTATAGTAACAGTTTTTAGTAGTAACAATATTTTAAGTCACAAGAGCAAACTGAGAATATTTGTAAATACAGATCTGCATTCAATTAGTACAACACCAACTACATTAATCATTAATCTCATCCGGTATATCAAGAAGAATCTATTACAGCATTTCACTGCATACAATTACAGTACCAAGTTCACTGAACAAGCAATCGCTCCAAAAGAATGCCAAATACTTTCATAACCTTAAAGTTCTCTTCTCTATCAGATGATTTCCAGAGCATCACCTTTGCCTGATTTTTGTTTCTCTTAACTTGTAGTTCTTTTTTTTCCCCTCATCTGTAGTCAAAGCAATAAAGATATACCTTGCGGGGAAAAAAGTTGTTTGGAAGCAACATATGTGGGGATTTTATTATTTCCTAATATAGTTTACTCCTTTTTACCAGTAGTTGTTACAAATTAATAGTGCTTGAGTAACATGTACAGTCCCAAAGAAAAAGAAATTTTACATTAAAGAAGTCTTTTTCCTTCAGATCCCTACCTCCCATGTTTATTGCTCCACGAGGACCCATATCACCCATTCTCATTTCCTGTTCTCTCTGAAAGTAAACATAGTTTTCATGGTCAACCTATCATTCTTAAAACATTCCCATTTACTCGATGAAAATAAAAATGTTCAAGTTCCAAAAGTTTCCATTGATTAAAAATACCACAAGGAATGAAGTTACCTATACTCCCGTTTTTATAGTATCAAATAGCTAAGTTCAATACAACAATGCTGTACATTTTTGCATATTAAAGATTAAATATCACCAGTTTCATTTATCATATGCAATCTAAAACTCCCAAATAGTTCTGTGATCAACTGCAAATGTATCCATCTTCACGCAGTGTTTTTCATTAACAAGAAGTGTATCTACATTTTAACTGTAAATAAAGAGGTCTTACTATGGTATTGCCTAAATGCTGTGGTTCAACAACACTCAATCTGCCTCACAATTCCGAAGCACTTGTGTTTACTGGGAGCCAAACTCTGATGTGTTACGTTATAGTACATAAACACAATCTGTTCATCTTTGTTCAAACTTAACTTTGTTCTGACTTGACTTGGTGGTGGCACATTTCAGATAAACTATATAATGCTACTGATAAGTTAGTTCAGATTCTGACCACCCTTTTGAAACCTTCAGAAACAACAGAAACTGTAACATGCATTTACACTAAACACGCAAACATGCCAAATTGATCCAGATTCAATTGATGGTCAGTCCCCCATTGCAAGAGTTCTGACATTACTGATCATGAACCATGGCCTGCTGTGAAAAAGATATCCAAAGATAGTACCTAGAGTGGCAAAATGTGAAAAATGCTCCAAAGATAGTACCTAGAGTGGCAAAAAAATCATCACTTAGGGGAACAGTATCACAGATAATTCCCAGGGATTTTAATATTACTGCTTAAATCAAAAGGATTAAATAGAAATAAATTCACAGTTCAAAATGAAGCCTAATGAAACTTTAAAAAAATCTCAATTTCCTACAAGAATGGTAATGTGTATTCCACTCTTTGCTCCAAAGATAGTACCTAGAGTGGCAAAAAAATCATCACTTAGGGGAACAGTATCACAGATAATTCCCAGGGATTTTAATATTACTGCTTAAATCAAAAGGATTAAATAGAAATAAATTCACAGTTCAAAATGAAGCCTAATGAAACTTTAAAAAAATCTCAATTTCCTACAAGAATGGTAATGTGTATTCCACTCTTGAGTGAACACGCATGTGCTGAAAATAAACATATGCAAAAAGTTTACCTCATTCTGAAAATTATTCCACTTATGATTTAAGAGCTTAAGTTCAGATGCACTTTGAAAACAAATCCATATACAGGGCAGCTAAGTCAGTCTATAAGCAACCTTTACAGAGAAATACTAAATTAAAATACATTCACAGTATTTTTACATCTTGACAAAACTCCTTTTTGGTCAACCTTATTTGGAATACCAAACACGAGTCTTCTATCTTCACACACTTAAAGCAGCAGACATCAATACTTGACAGAACAGAATAGAGAGTTTTGTAAAAATATCCTGCGATGGGAAATTGCCGTAAGATACAAGACAAAAGGCTCTCAGGTCAACAACTTGGTTTCTAGTAACTCATATTAACCTAGAAAATGTACTTAACATAAGAAGATTACACACTGTTTTCAAAAAAATATGGTTTAGCGTGGAGAGAAAAATAAGACTTTGTAACTAGAAGGCACAGACAGGTTTTAAGGTCCAGCTATGAAAGGCCATTGACGGAACAATAAGGAAGACCTCTTCTACTGACCCTAGAACCCATGTTAAAAATTTATAATGCAAAATGCAACTACTTTGACAGACCTTTCACAACAACATCAATTGGCATTTTAAGTAAAATCAGCAGCCCCATTAGGATCAATCACACCCAAAAACTGGTACCAATGAAGTAGTCAAAATCATATAATCTTGTTGGCATTAGTCTCCTTATACACCTCAACCTTGACATAAGGAAGCAGTAAGGAAAGTGGTATATTATCCCTAATGTCAATCTCTAGCCCAGATTACATTAGTCAAATTATGCACACACACATATGTGCATGTGTGAAAACAGAGCATTGCCACAAACAGTTGTGAGATACTCTTTAGCTACAGGCAAAGTAACAGATTTTGCATTAGTGCACATAACTTACTTGATTCATTTCAGTTCAACTGCAAGTTGTGTGGTGTTTGGATTTTTTTAATGTGATACGTGCCACAAGGCAGGGCCAAGTACAATAGTGGCCAGGAAAGGATGTTGAGTACAGAGCTGTGAAGCTGTACTAGTTACTATAATTTAAGTTGTTTTCTTGGTAAAGGATAGAAGCATTGTCTAGCTGTAATATATGCTTTATTTCAAAAGCACACTACTCTTCCTCCTAGCAACAAACCAGGGGCTTTGAGCCTGAAATGCTACCAGTCTTCAGTTAACCAGAAGTACAGCAAAAGATGCATGGCATCTGCAAACTTCAGTGGTTTTTTTTTAGTCTAGTCTAACATTCATAATGAAAAACATGAAGTAATTACTTGCCATTCTTTAATCTTTAACTTTGGTGTTGAATTATTACAGTATAAAAAACCATTTCAGCTATAGAATCAAGATCCACAAAGTGCCTTATAATTTCTGCTGCCTATTAGTTTACCAATGTGCCTGCAACTGTTGCATGTTCACAACTTATCACGTTCCTTTCAATTTTCAGTATGGGAAAATTTTTCCGTACTGTTAACAAAGAATTAGCAAATTTCAGTTTCCTGTCAGAGAAAATACTCAATTTCAAATGTTAACTGACAGCATATAACATATCATTAATGTCATTAAATACTTGTCATATTAACAACTTGTATTTGCAGGAGTCCAGATAGCAACAAAAAGTCAGTTCTAACACACACAAATCATGTCATAAACATCTCTTTACTATGTGAGCATAGACATGTTATTACAGGTAAGTTAGGTCAAGTATTCCATGGGTTTTGTCAAAAATAGGACAAAGGAATACCAACAGGCAGTTTGACAGTAGCCGAACCAGTGCTGGTTGATCATTCCAGCCCACCTGAGAGTTTCATTTTTGGATACTCAAGCCCTTTGCAGAACTTAACAAAGTGTTTATCTTCTCAGAGCTTCTTTTCCTCACTATGTGACTGCCCATTCTTCAGTTGAGCAGCAGCCTGCTTCAGCCCCTTTCCCAAAGCCACCCACAATGATCCATAACAGGGAGTTAAAATTGAGCAGCAAAAGAGCAGGGCTAAACTCTTAACAGAGAAATATGAGGGGTGGTTAAGAACCTCTGAAGTCACCTGGTACCTGGGGAAACAACTTAAACTGCAAGAGAACAAGAAAAATGGATGATATGCAATTACAGGGGGAAAAGAAAGACATAAGACAAAGAATGCGTTGTAAAATATAAATTAACCTTTGAGAAGATCAAAAGGAAAACAAAACCAAAAAGTCAAGCAAATAAAAAAATGTCCTATTGTAAAAGCATTGTTGACACAACTCGAAAGCTTTCCAAATTACTTCTGTTGCAGGACGTGTAAAATACTTCAGAACTCACTAAAGCAAACAACCCCCTAGAAAGTCCAATTCATCTGAGTAATGTGCTTTTAGAAAAACTGCTATGATGGCAGTTATAGGATAATACCTGCCAATTACTATAGATACAAGCATTAAAAATTGTATTTTCTTGCAATTCCAACTCATTTTAACAACCACTGTAAAAAATTATATCTATGGCAAAATATGGAATACATACAGGTTTTAAATTAATATATATTCTACATTTAATGTAGTATGGATTCTTCCCTTTTTACAAGTATTAGAAACCAGATTTCTCAGGCTTTTGAGCTGCATCATGCACAATGTTCTTATACCTCAATCACCACTGATACAAGAATCTTAATATCCAGAGAACTGCCAAGATAATTGTTCTAGGATTTTAAAATACATTTTAAAAATTGTAGAATTTTAGAATTTATTCTACAAAACTCTGAAACTGTATTCGAACAAAATTTTAAAATTTATTTTAAAAATTAAGAATTGATACAGGAGAATGTATCAGATGCAAATCCCCTCTCACACTGAAAGTAAAAATACAGTCACAAAACTGACCTTTTCAAACCGAAAACCCAATACTACTATTTTTTCCCCCAGAAACAGGCCTAGCAATTGCATCAGCCCAGAGAAAATTAAAAAACTTGTCTCCAAGTAATGCAAGACTCATGGTAACAAAGCTGTCAAAAAATTATGATATGAAATAAATACGGCATGCAATATTTCACTACAGTAAAAAGCAAGATATATACACAAATATTAAGATGACAGATCATATAGTTTTCAAGTGTTTATGGCCAAGAGGTACACTTCCCAATTAACTTTGGACTAATTACTCACCTCTCTGCTAAGGAATGGTGACCACAATAATGCAAAGACATGGCATCCAAAAAATGCCTCAGTCAAAACAGAACCCCATAAACTTGCACATGAAAATCAGCAGTTTGATTATTATTTTACCTAGGCTGTGCATGTCAAGCAAAATGTAATTCACAGTGTTGCTGATTCTCACTTGTTCTCATTAACATGGAAACTGAATTTTATTCTCTAACTGACTTTGTTAAAACAGATATGACATTTCTGTACTTCTTACTACAATTCATTACTCCCTTCTAATAGGGTTTATTTCATTAAGTTCTTACAGAAAAGAAAGATTATTTCCAAAGATCTCATCAGGAGGCATAAGGCCCTTAAACCTTGCAGAAAGTGCATTTACTTAGAGATGCCTGTATTTTAATGACATAAATCATACAAGTTATTAAAACAGCTAGTTTGGCAGTCAAAACTAGAATTTGGGGGTACTTTTGACTGTGCATTATTTGTCTCTCTCTCTGAACAGTCTACTATTTCACTCTAGTGTTCACGGAAAGTTAAGCTGCCAGAAAGGAGTTAGAGTAACAAAACCCCTCCCCTTCCATCCACCCTTCTTGTTACCTCTCTTCAGTTCGTCCCTCAAGTAAGATCTGTATGTAAGATCCAAAAGTTACAAC